GAAACAAAGTCTATGTAAATAGGGAAGGGTGGTGGGGGTAAAGGGTGCATAGGTAATGCGGGGAAAAATAAGAACCAAGATACATCATGTTCAGGTAGAAACACCCAATGATAAATGTAAATGTATTGTATACCTAAAATGTACCAATTAATATATAAATTTTAAAAAAAACATTCGCCGTAAAATAAACATTTCTCTAAGATGCTTCTTTATGGGTACATTCGTAGTACACTATGATTACATTCATCATGGGTAATTGGTACATGTACATATTTCTCAATTCTTAACTCCCTCCTTTCCCCTCCTTCCCCCTCCCTGCATCTCTTGGAACCATGGTGTGCGTATATTTTAACATGTGTTTGTAGTACATGATGATCGCATGCCTCATAGGGACTTGGTACATGTACAGAGCACTTCACAATCCCCTCCTTTTGTTTTTTGGTTTGGTTTTGTTGTTGTTGTTGTTGTTTTGCTTGTTTGTTCAGACAGGGTCTTTCTATGTGGTTCAGACTTGCTTTGAACTATGTAGACCAGGCTGGTCTCAAATTCACAGCAGTACTCCTGCTTCAACTTCCTGCATGATGGGATTATAGATATGTGCCACTATGTCCAGCCCCTCTTTTATTAATCTATTTCCCCCTCTCCTCCCTCCATTCTTTGGTTCCCTTCCCATATGCCAAAAACCCATCTCACTATTCCGTACTATTCTTTATTTTTCACTTTATATATCAAGGTTCTCATATAAGAGAAACCATGTGATATTTGAGTTGTATGTCTGATTTACCTCACTTAAGATTATGGTTTCAAGATGCATTTATTTTCTTACAAATAACTCAAGTTTATCTTTCTTTATGGCCAGGTAGTACTCTATCATGTATAAATACATTTTCTTTATTCATTTATCTATTGGTGGACATTTAAGTTGAAGATTTAGCTATTACAAATTGTGGTGCTATAAACATGCGTGTGCATGTATCAGTGTAATATGATGTCTTTAATTCTTTCAGGAAAATACTTGGTAGAGGAATAGCTGGGTCAAATGGAATTTCTATTTTTAGTTTTTTGAGGAATCTCCACACTGATTTCCATAGTGGATATACCAGCTCCCACCGGCAGTGAAGAAGTGTTCCTTTTTCCCTGCAGCTTCTCCAGCATGTTATTGGTTGATTTCTTTTACACAGCCATTCTTTCTGGAGTGAGGTGAAATCTCAGTGTTAATTGCATTTCTCAATGGGCAGTAAAGATGAACATTTTTCATGTATTTTTGACCATTTGTACTTCTTCATTTGAAAGTGCCTATTCATTTCCGATGCCCATTTTTCAACTGGGTCTCTTAAGTTTGGGGGGGGGTCTCATTTTTTGAGTTCTTTATATATTCTAAATTCTAATGTGCTTTTTAAAAAAAAAAAAAAAAAAAGTATAAGAAGGGGCTGTGGTTTGAATGTTTGTTGTCCCCAATCCCTTGGTTGAGATTCTCACCCCTAGACAATAGCATTAGGCAGTGTGGCCTCTGAGTGAGGCAGAGCCGCTCCAGAGCCTGTCCACTAAGTAAGGGCACAGCTAGCAGGTGGGAACCAGAGAGCAAGCCTGCACCAACAACCTGCTGGCACACTGCTCTTAAAACTTCCCAGACTCCAGAAATCTGCAAAATAATATTCTGTAACTTATAAGCCACTCAGTTATGGTATTCTGCTGCAGCAGTTTGAATGGACTAAGATAGGACTCAAATTATCACCATGATGTAAAAATTCCTGGATTTCAGCCTGATTCCTGCACACATTTTAAATATAAAGTTGTAATTTGTTTAGATCATTACAAGATGTTGCAAAGAAAAATGCTTATGCAAGGATACATAAATACGTCATAAAAGAGGTAACACACAGGATAAGCATAGTAAAAAGGGAAAGAGGACAATGAAGGTGATGAGAGAGAGGAGGAGGCTGAGAAAGAGAAAGTGCGAAAAGAGAGAAAATGAGCTTTAAATCAATCCAGCAACTAAAAATTTAGATTGAACAACAGGCAGTGACTCATACTAAAATAAGCCTATTTATGGTATATAATTAAATGTAAAATCTCACTACATCTAAAATATAGTATTATTTATACAAATATCTATTAACACCTCTTTTAAAGGAATAAATCTACATACTAAATATGGTTAGATAAAACTTTTTAGTTCACTAGTCTGACCTAAATTTTACTTGTAGCATCAATAAAATTTACCTTATAGCAATAATAATTGCATCCAAGGGTCAACAACTTACCTCCCTGAAATCCGGCAAATCTGATGAAGAAATTAAAACAAGTTATACAGAAGTGGTCTTCTGCATAATTCACTAACGAGGAGCTTTTTTCTTCCAAAATCTTTAAAACAAACCCTAAAATATGGTGGTCAAAGGGCCGGGGATTTAGCTCAGTGGCACCGTACCTGCTTCACAAGCGCAAAGTCCAGAGTTCAATCCCCACTAACCGCCCCCCCCCCCAAATGGCAGTCATGGCTAAAGAAAGCTGTTTGGAGCCATAAAGTTCAGGAAGAGAAACTTTCCCTACTATAACTCTCAAAGTTAACATAAGAGGGACCGGGGATTTAGCTCAATGGCCCTGCACCTGCCTCGCAAGCTCAAGGTCCTGAGTTAGATCCCGGCACCTAAAAAAAGGTCAACATAAGATATATTGTAACCCAAGCTACAGAAAGTTACTATGCAGCATGACTTATTTTGTATACTACAGTTCTCAATTCTATATTAATTGTATGTGTGAGAAACTCTCAAAATAATAGAGTATCTCTTAAATTACCCAGTGATTTTAAATCTACCATGAAGAATCTAACTAAAGATGTGGTTACCTTGTGCAAGCAGAAATAACTATTGAGTTCACATAATTCAAGTAACTCCTCAAAACAATCTATAATAGAACAAAGTACAGGTAAGAATATATATGCCAAGCCTACTATCAGCTACAAACCCAAAGACCTGAAGCTAGTCCAGGAAAAAAATCAAGCAAAGATAAAAGCACCTGAATTTCAAAGCTAACTACATACTATAATAGAAAAGTAACAATTTTAAAAAACTAGATTAAATTTTTAGTAAAAATAATTACATACTATATAATTGGAGAACTTTTAGTAACTAAAAACATATTAATCATAATATATTTTAAAAGAAGTGACAAGAAAACCACTGTATACCTGAAAAGATTAAATGGAATCACCTATTAATAGGTCAGTACAAATAAGTAAAATAGTTAAACATAAAATAATTTGTAAATACATTGTTTTCTTAAAGAAAATTTTATAAATTTCCCATAACAATGAATCTTAAAGCTTTTTGTGTTCAAAAATACTCTAAAATGTATTTAAAAGACATAAGTAGAAGTTATTCTAAAAAAAAACAACAAATTGAGGTTTTGAAATATAAGCAAAAATTTGTGGTTTAATTTCAACATAAAATTATTGCAAGATGACTTTAATCCACTTGTTAAGAAAGCATTATAATTATAGTTTCTTTTTATTATACCAAATAATCATTTGACATTAGGTATTTTAGATTACAAATCAGCTCATCTGTTAAATCCAAAAATAAGTCAGCAATGAAAGATAGAAATCTAACTTTTGTTTAATATTTTAAAATAGTTTCTGCATAGTTTTCCTGAACACACATTAACATTCGAATTGTGACCATCATTATACGGTTGAATAAGGGTCTAATCTACGTAAAAAACAAACAAATAAGTGAGCGTGAAAATTCCCAGAAACCACTACTGATACATGTTCATGTACCCTGCCTCCCCCTTCCCACAAACATTTTTTTAAAAAATTTCAGTACTGGGGATCAAAGTCAGGACCTTGTGCTTGCCCGGCAGGCACGGCGCCACTGAGCTGCATCCCAGCCCCCACAAACAATATTTATCAAGCTTACCATTAAACTGCATATTTAGCTTTTCCTTCCAACTTAACACTAGATATAAGAAACTCTAGAAGTCATAAAGACCAAAACATATTTCACCTTCTTGCTAAAATATGTAAAATCCCAGTAAATATTTCCCCAGTGAGTATATGGAAATTTGTTCATTCAAATTGATGGGTTTTGCCCATTAAAAAAGATTTAAATAGCTCTAGTTACAGAAATGTGTTCTCAAAATAACAATTGTATTATATTCTAATCTACTTCAGTTATTTCCATATGGAAACGTCAATAAAATCAGTTTACCACAGTCACAAAACCTATTCAATTAACACTGAAAAATTAGAACTTATCCAGAGTGATTTTAAATGAAAATGTATACTATTTCAAAATAACATGCTCCTCTCTGAAATACTGAGGCAATTAACAGAAAATGTAAATAAATTAGTTGAGTTTAAGTTTAATATCTAAAGAATACTCATTCCTTGTTTCTTTATACTATTTTATGAAATAAATAATTCAATCTAAACCATATGATTATCATTATTTTCTTTTGCTACTTACTTCAAACTCTAAAGTTCATGTACAAGATCACAAACTGATGCAGGATGTATCCTAATATTCGTCTACAACTAGCTATCCACATACATTAACAGTAACAGTACTAGGGCCAGGGATTTAGCTCGGTGGTTTTGTCGCCTGCTGCGCAAGTACAAGGACCCGAGTTCGATCCCTGATACCAAAAAAAAAAAAACCAGTTACAGTACTGCTCCAATCAGGCACAATGTCTTTCCATTTTATATATGAGGACTTCTCACCAAGCTCAGCAGCTATATTCTAAATTATGGATAAGAAAAAAATGTATTAAAGGCATATTTTAAAAAAATAAATACAGTATGAAATCTTATTTTTCACTGAGTCAGAGAAGTCTTTGTTTTGTTTTTTTTTTGTTTTTATGGCTATTTGGTTTACTTCCTTCTTCTGAACAAGATTAATAGTAACCCTCATTCTTCTTTAGGAAGTCAAAAGCCCACAACTTAAACTTGATGAAAACTTAATGTGGTATTTTCAGCTAAAACAGGTAAATTAGCACCATAATAATAACTGTACTAGGGCGGGGGATTTAGCTCAGTGGTTTCGCCACCTGCTGCGCAAGCGCAAGGACCTGAGTTCGATCCCTGGTACGAGAAAAACAAAAAAAGTATAATGATGAGCCACTTCCTACCAGATAGCAAAATATATTTGGGCCAGGGATTTAGCTCAGTGGTTCTGTCGCTTGCCTTGCAAGCACAAGGACCCGAGTTCAATCCCTGGTACCAAAAAAAACAAAACAAAGAATAACTGTACTAAATTTTAACACTGTTCATTAAGAGTTCCATTTTCCTGAGTTTCCGTTTGTTCTTTGGCATTGGCTTAGGATATAATCCATTTTTCAGAAGGTATTCCTTGCTGAGACGAATCTGAGCACCATGTTGAAGCTGGAAAGAGCATAATGCTTGAAGAGGACGAAGCAAGGTCTGTTAGGGAAAAAAAAGGACACTAAAGAAGTATTTGTGACAGATCATAATATTTTATATTTTTCCTTCAAAAACAGATTACTGTTTTTTCCATTATTATTGGCTTTTAACTGTAAAAGCAATAGATATCTGAACAATTATATAAAATTGTCACTGAATAAATAATATTTTTAAATTCCTAAGTTACCTACCACCAAGGAATTTTAGTAAAAGGATACAAATACTGATTTTCTATATAGGCAATAAAGTCTGAACTAAGTTTTACATTTTATTCAAACAGAATGAAATGCTGTTGTCATTATAATTTAATCTGAAGCAAGCAGACTAAAACGAATAATTATATATAATGATAATAAGCATATCCAATGAGCTAATTAAGTGTTAGTCACAAATTAATGCAATCTTACTAGCACTTGAAAACAAATGATGGCAGCAACTGTCAAGTGGTTTACTACTTCTCTCACACTGGTCTATGGACCACATGCAAGTTAGAGGCCCAAGTCTTAGGGTATTTGAAATCATTCTAACTATATGTGTTTCTGTCTAAATCCAAATACCCATAGAGCCAAGCATATAACATGTGAACCTAATAAACCTGTAAGCTAACGAAGAATGTTGGAGGGTTTAATACAACTATTGTACACATTCTACCTAAAGTTATTTGAATTTAAAAAAACTATGCCAATTTTTAAAACATATTTTAGGCCTGATTCTCTCCTTGGACTTTAGTCTTGCTCTAAATTTTTTAAGTAATAATAGCAAGAAAGCATGATTGAACAGATTGTTAACAAAACATAAAAGAAAAAAACTGAAAGATTTAACTACAAAAATTTCAATATATCCATGTGAAAATTCATTCTTCCACATATGTAACTGTAAGTAGCAGAAAAAGCTTTAATATATAATGAACTCATAGTTGCTCCTCTACATCCATTATTATTAAAAGAATCCAAATTTCATTCAACTGGAAATCAGTCCAGTTATTAATACTACACTGACTAATGACACAGTCTACTGAAGGCCACCTTCCCTGCCTCTTCCTTTGTGAAACTAGAGTGATGTATCTACTGGGTGGGGCTTCCAAAGGAATGCTTTAAAACCTGACAGATTTAGCAGCACAGGCATTTTGTTCCTTCTTCCTACCTGGAACATGATTATTGGACGTGGGGCAAACAACAAGTGACCATTAGGCAATAAACACAAAAGATAAGGGACAGAAAGACAGAAGGTTTATAATAGCTAAAGCTTGGAAACAGCCCAATTTCCCCATCAACTGGAGACTGGATAAAGAAAATGTGCTTTTTTAAAAAATAAAATGGAGTACTACTACTCAGCCATAAAGAATGAGAAACTAAAGACATTTATAGCTAAATGGATGCACACTGAGGTGATACTATTAAGTGAAATAAATAGGACATATGTGTAACTACCGAATAGTTTCTCTAGTGTGAGAAACTGAAAGTGTAAATAAGGATCAAAAGGTATAATAGATAATGTGAGATAGGAAGGGACGAAGGAGGGGTAGGGGAAAGGAAAGAAGGGAATGGAATTAATATGAGAAAAGGAAAAAAAGGAAACAAAGTCTTCGTAAATAGGGAGGGGTGGAGGTGTTGTTGAAGGGAGGACAGAGGAAGGGAGAAAAAATAAGAACCAGGAGAGATTATGTAAAGGTGCAAATTTCCAATGATGAATGTCATTATACTGTATACCTAAAATGTACCAATAAATTAAAATTCAAAAATAAAAAATAAAAAAAAAGAAAGAAGGAACCCACACTGTCCTTTCCAAGTGCAACTTCAAGCACAGGACAACCCACCTCAGCATGTCTAAATTAGAGGAGGGAAAAAGAAACTCTCATTTGATTTCACTACTGCAGTAATAGCTCTGTTTTCATGCAGTCAAACATTCCTAATCAATATATACCAATAAGAAAAAAGACACATGTCTTTCAAAAACTGTATACAGTATTGTTGTGAAAAGCCCCTTAGGATATTCTTGTAATTTCTTTAAAAAAACAAAAACAAAAAGAGGAAAGGAAAAGGAAAAATGACTATATACCATTTTACAAAGGCAATACAGTGGAGAGACTGGACTGTAAAAGGTTTAATTTAGCTCATGGTTTGGGAAGATTTAGTTCATAGTCAGCTGGTTCCAAGGCAGAAACATTACAGCAGAAAGGCATGATGGAACAAAGGTACTTAGTGGCCAGGGAGCATAGTAGGGAACAGTGCCAGAGAATACCTGGCGAGAGCCCATACATGTTCGATCCCTGGTACAAAAGAAAAAAAAAAAGAAAGAAAGAAAGATTTGGGCTAGGGATTTAGCTCAGGGGCACAGCGCCTGCCTGGCAAGCATGAGGTCCTGAGTTCAATCCCCAGTATCAAAAAAAAAAGAGGAATAGCCCTTTATCATGTTACACCACTTTAAATCTAATCCAGCCTATTTTAATTGATGCTATCTGACTTACTAGGTATATACTTTAAGGTAAATAATATAATCTCTTCTTGCCTAATTTTTTCATCTGTACATTGAAAGTTGAGCATATATTTAATAACAAACGATAATGTTTCTTTCTTTTTTTAATGTTTCTATATAAACAAAAACATCACATCAGAGACAATGTGAAGCTACATGGAAAAAAAGATTGCCTTAGGGAAAAATCCTCTAGTTGTAAAATAAGTTTTCTTCTAAATGGTCATTTGGGAGAAAATCAGTATTTCATAAATCCTTTCATCTATATTTGCAAATGGGGAAGTTTTCAAGGAACCATTACTATCAGCCCTTGATGGTGGGTAGAGCCAAACCACTGGACTATGTGCGGCTCAAAACCTTTTCCACAATTACCTTTGAATGTTTATAAAGTAAAACTTCCTACATCGAGGTCTTATAATGAAAAAGATCCCCAAGCTGAGGGCTCCAAATGTATAAAAAGTCATGGTACATATTACAGTAGATAAATAAAAGTCAACAATGGTTATTTCAAAAATTCTTTTGTTGATCTATATGCAAGAATAAGAGGGGCAAAGGAGGAGAAAAGGTTTAACACAGTGCCTATGTTGTTGACAAATGTGACCCTAACACACATTATCTCAATTTTTTTTTTTTTTTTTTTGGTGGTAGTAGAGATTGAACCTAGTAGTACTCTACCACTAAGCTACATTTCCAACCCTTTTTATTTTTCATTTTGAGACAAGATCTTGCTACTTTGCCCAGGCTGGCCTTGGGCTTGGGCATGCAATCCTTCTACCTCAGCCTCCCAAGTAGCTGGAATTACAGGTGTGCACTATCACACCCAGCTACTCGATTCCTGAGGCAACTACTTTTTGTATATTTCAGGTAAAAAACAAGCACAAATAGGTTGTGTGAACTTCTCACTGGCAAAGGGTGATGATAACAAGTGATGAAGTTGTAATTCAAAGCTCTTTAAAGTCCATATCATGCTACTTCCAAGGAGCTATGATCTATGATTTTCTATCATGCTAATTCCAGATGATTGAAAAGTTCTCTAGAATAAAGGAAAAGAATGAATCAAAAGACTAACAAAGTTGTTCAATCCCAAGCCTACAGAATGAAGCCATGAAAATTGACTGCTCTCCTCTGCTACTCTAGAATCTTATTAGAATGCTCCCAATAAAAGGTTATTGAGAGGAAATGTATATTATACCTTTCCTCCCTAAGAAGGGAAGACAACACCTATGTTTAGAGGAGACAGTAATTGTGTTCCACATAGAAACATGCTAATTTTTTTTACTGAAATTATGTTGAATAGGCTGAAAAATAATTATTATAAACTGATAAGCAACTTTTGCCATCTATAATAATAAGCAACTTGAGAAAGACAATTTGATGCTTTCTTCTGACACTCTTCTAACACTCCTTGCTCTTGAGAGCTTTTTATTTTCTTTAGGATTAATATCTTGATAACTACTCCAGTTATTTTGAACTGACCTTTACCATAGTTGAAATTTCTATCATGGCTTAGGCAAAGCCTTACAGAAGTAACCATAATGTATAATGAGAGAGAGAAGGAAGGCAGGAAAGAGTACTTTGTTCATGTGTATTGTGGTGTGTGTGTGTGTGTGTGTGTGTGTGCGTGCGTGTGTGTTTGTGCCTTGTGTGTTCTGTAGTACATATTTTGGAGGGGAAGTCATAAATTTCATTTAGTTATGTTTGTTATGTTCTAACTTTTCTTCCTCAGTTGTAGTTATTAAAATATTTTATTTAAAACTCAACATTTTATTTAACTATTGTCCAACTGCTATAAATGCAAAATTTCTTATATGCACCAAAAGATCATTAATGAGCTCACTGAAATATTACCCTTTGCTGACGATTACTAATTATATATGCAACCATCAGACATCCATGGAAAGTAAATAGAAAAATGATCATAGGCTATGACCTTTTCATATTCTGTAGGTGTTTCTCTTTTTGAAAAGTATCTTTTTATACACTACACAAGTTTAATAAGTTAAACAACACTAGTATAGCTCTTCAAATAAAGGAATGAATGCAAAAGAAGTTGCTATACTATGTTCTCTTAATTTAAAAGCCAAACACAAGAGAATGTAAACTACTAAAAAAAAAGAAATAAAAAATACTAAAAAAATATATAACCAAAAAACTATTTAGTGTCATGCTATTTAAATGCAATTTAGCATATTACAAATGCTGTTTGCACAGCTTACTATGAATATTTAAATAATGCAATCTGGAATGCTAAGCAAACACAGAAAAACACCAGAGGGAGAAAGAGGGTTATAAAGTACATAAATTTCTATCAGATACATTCTACTGGTCACTTGAGGTACACATTTAACAAGATAAGCATGTCTAAATTTTCCAAATGAAATCTAACCAAACTCCTACTTGAAAAAAACTATGATCTTCCACATACCTCCTGTATGGAATTGTTTTTCTCTAAGATGGAAAGAGCAACAGCTGCACACTCCAGTGTAGAAAGGCACCTATTAGTTGGTTGCATCCGAATTACATACTGACTGGAAATATTAGTTTTTAACTGCACCTGAAATAAAAAACAAAATAGCATAATGTAATTTTTGTCCTAAATGTAAATTTTTAATGTATTTTAAATATTACTTTCCTGGCCATCCCACACTCCTAGGGCAGAGAAGCTGAGCCGGTCCCAGCACCCAGAAGGAAGCTCCCCTGCTGCCATCCCAAGCTCCTAGGGCAGAAAAGGTGAGCCGGTCCCAGCACCCAGAAGGAAG